TGATCCTAGTGGTCGCCTGCTTCAGTGTCAAATGGTTTATTGGCAGCTTGGTTGAGTCGTAGCTTGGCTTACTGGGAGCTTGGTCCTGTGGTAGCTGGTCAAATGCTACCTTGGTCCATGGCAGCATGATCTTGTGGTAGGTTGGTCCAATGGTGGCTTGGTTTAGTGGCAGCTTACTCCTGTTGTGGCATGGTCCAAGTAGCACCGTGGTCCAATGGCCAATTGGTTCACTGACAGCTTGGTCCAATGGCAGTGTGGTTCACTGACAGCTTGATCAGTGGTGGCATGGTTCAAGTGGCAGGTTCTTCACTGGCGGATTGGTTCACTGGTAGCGTAGTTCAATGGCTACTTGGTCAACTGGCAGTCTACACTCAGGCAGCTTGGCTCCATGTAAAGGAACAAGCTTTGCCATTTGAAGAACTTTGAAGGCTGTTAGCGACTCGGTCTGAGCAGTGATTTGCGTATTCCATGGAGGCCGCTAGCATTGCAGACCGAATGCGTTTGAACCTGTAAAGATCCAGAATTAAACGATGTTGGTTTCTAGCATTGGTTTCTAAGAGAGGTTTATGGGGAGAGAGAAGTGAGAGCTTCATGGAGAAAGGCTCTCTAATAATACTTTGACCTTGTAGGGGTTAATGTGGGGTTGCTCCCCTATTTATATAAATTTGAAGTGTGTCCATGTTAAATGCTTCTGGGCAAATTCATGCTCATATTTTGCATGAGTGATATGTGTCAGTTGCTCACGGCATTCTGTAGCAGCATTCTTTGGGGCAACTTGCCTCTCTATCTCGGCATGCTCTGTAGCAGCTTGCTTTGTGGCTGCGTCACCCTGTTCTCACTGACTTCTTGTGATCTTTAGAATTTTTGTCATAACTTTATAGAGAGATCCCTGTTAGCAGTGATTCTTGGACCATTGAATATTTAATAGATCTACTGCAATTTGAAGTAATACATGACCCAATTTGGATATGTATTGATGCAGTTTTGTTCTTGTGAAACTAAGGGTGTCTGTTTCAGGTTTCTGAGGTTTGTTAAATGGGGAATTGGATGTCTCATAGGTTTTTGGCGCTTGGTATGAGGTTGAGTTGGCCTACAGAGAGGGGCATGGATTATGAAGATAAATATCAAAATAATAAAAATATGGAGAAATTTCAATTTCTTTATTTTTCAAAATTTTCCCCTTGATTTTGTCATTCCTAAAGGCATGTATGTATATCTGAAAATTTGACATCATGCTAGCAATATTATTTCACTAATAGTTTCATATACTAGTTTTCTAAAGTAACAGAACATCCAGGGCAATGGATTATGAAGATAAATATCAAAGTAATAAAAATATGGAGAAATTTCAATTTCATGATTTTTCAAAATTTTCCCCATGATTTTTTCATCCCTAAAGGCATGTATGTATATATGAAAATTTGACATCATGCTAGCAATATTATTGCACAAATAATTTCACATACTAGTTTTCTAAAGTAACAGAACATCATTCTGTTTGAGCTTTTCTTTCTATAAACTTATTTGTGTTGCCTGAAATGTATAAACATTAAAATATTTTAGCATGCTACAGAAATTTAGGTCCAAGAGAAATATGTTCTGATTATAATGTTCATGTTCTGGACACATTCAGAATTCCAGTCCTGAAATGAAATAAGGACCCAAAATCTTGTACAGATATAATTTCTTGGTGTTGTAAAAGGAATTCATCTACAATATTTTCATGTAACAACCATAATTGTTAATTCAGTAGAACTTGAACCAGATAGTTTTAATTATTGCTTCATCTAACAAAGCCATACAGCATCATTCTTTTGAGCTTGAACCAAATAATGTAAAGAATTTTATATTTTAAAGAAAACCCAATCTAAGTCAAGTGGGCTGTGCACCTTTTTTTTGTTCCTTCCCTTTCTGGTTTGTATTTGATGACAGGGTGGGAGGGACGTTATGAAATGATTATCGCAGGGAGTGAAAACAAGCAAATAGGCAAATTTCCATGGGGAAAATGCATTGGGATCACAACTCAAAATGGAATGTTTTGCAACTGTGTTAAATTAAGGGGCCAGTGTTCCCATCTGTATTGTTTTATGTTTACGTATGTGAAGACTAAAGGCACACTGGTGATACCCATGAGGGATCATACATTTACTGGATTCACCATAGGCCTCCGTGAGGTAGGTATGCTTGATAGCACCCTGATATCCTGATATTTCAGGATAATATAGAATTTATTATGATTTGAATTATATGAATTCGTACACCCTGTTTGATAGGGTCAAATCATATATTCTAATATTCTAATAACCTTCAAATATTTGAATTCCAGAAAATTCAAGTTGTAGTTGAATTTTGCGGGATTCAGTTTCACCGTCAAATTATTTTGTGCCTCTCTCCCTCTCTCATCCACTATTTCTCTCTCCCGAGGCCCCACCTCTTTCTCAATGAGAACCCTTTCTCTCTCTTATGATGGTTCCCCCCATCTTTCTCTCTCAATTAAGGACCTATTAGGTTTCACAATCTTTCTCACCGTGATGAAGACACCTGTTAAGGCTTGTGCCCATCTAGGACAGGCGTGTCCTCTCTCTCAAAAGGAACCCTTTCTCTCTTGGGATGCTTCGCACCATCTGTCTCTCTCAATGTGCTAAACAATCTCTCTCGGCCATGAGGAAGGGGGTTTCACAATCTCCCTATGAGGAAGACACCTGTTCGAGTTTGGGCCTTTTTTGAGGCCCATCAACACTAAAGAAGAATGGAAATCTCTACACACACACATCAATTTTTCTGAGGTCCTGTTCTGTTTAATGGTTCTTCTTTTGCGTGCTCAGTGTGTCTGGCTTTCAGCCATGGTTCCCAATATTCTTTATGACATGGATCGCACCAACCCCCCTTCTTCTGATTCAGATGCCCCTGTAACTATTCACCACAAAGATTTAGACATTGAGGTACCTTCGCCTCCTCGTGAAACACCCTTTTTGAGACGAACAGTACCATCTTTGAGTAAACAAACAGTCTGCAAGGCCCAATTGCCAAGTCTCCTTCTGAAACCAGAGAGTTACTGAAATCAATAGATTTGAAGATAGAGAGGGAAAATGTTGTGGGAAGAACTATGGAAGCAGCAAAGGCAAAAGTGGCGCCCCAATGAAGAGCTACCGTGGCCAAAGGGCTCTGACTCCTAAAAGGAGATGGGTCTAGAGTTCTTGAATTGACTGATTTAGACTCTTATTCTGGAAAATGGGGGAGCCTCTAAGAAAGTAATTAGCTATTCATGTAGTAGATCCATGTTCCATGGAATAGTGGTATTTATTTCTTGAGTTGCAGAGTAGGAGTATAAGGAGCAGATTAGTTGACAACAAATTCTTATTGGCAAAGCAATTTTTCTGAGGCCCTGTTATGTTTGAATGGTTCTTCAAGCACAATGAATCTGAGGCCCATCAAGACGCTGCAGAACCACCTTAGTAAATATTCCCCTTCTCCTTAATTTTTTTATCTGGTGTTTTGTTTTTTAGTCCATAGAAAATTGCTTGTCATTTGCAACAATAATTGGGCTAGCCCTTCATTTGTGGTGCTCGTTTAGCTTCTGGTTTGGGGTTAATTTATCCTCTTAATCATTCAAAAAAGAGTGCTTTTTCAGCGTTGTGATTTGCCAGCTTAAATGGTGGATTAATGTGCTCGCATTTTGAAAGGAGTGCAGAGAGAGAAGCTGCATAGCTATGGTGTCTATGAAGAATAAGCTCTGGTTCATTTTCTTCCTTGTTTTCTTGAAGCAACTGAGTTTTACTAGAGCTCTGCTTCATTGGTCGATATTCATTCTAGAAATGGGAAGAGAGGCTCTATGTAACCTTGAAAATTTGTTGCCTCTTTGGGTTTTCGTCAATGTTCTTTGGGGGTTAGTTTTATTCCTCATCGTCTGATTGCATGTGTGAAAGAAGGTTCACTTTTAATGGTGAATAGCAAAAATTGCAGACAAGCTCTAGTTCTGGAAGATTAGTCTTTCTTCCCAACCTTTTTTGTTTTGAGTTTCTTCACAGAGTGTTTTTGAGGGTTCTCCTCCCATTCATGGCGCTGGTCTTCACTTCTAATTGGATTGTAAACTGATTTGGTATGTGATGCCCTAGCAGCAAATCTTTCAATAGCAATCTATGGCCAATATAAGGGTGTTATACCTCTCTCACTTTGTTTATTCTTGTGCAAACTTTTCAACCTTGCTCAACAATTCGTTAATCGCTTTACATACAAGCAGACCATCAAACGTGCGTAGAAAACCCCATATCATGATAACATAAAATCCAGATATATACAAAGGAGGTCATGGCTTTATTCAGATTTCTAAAAATTTGGATATTTAAATCCTGTTTTGTCAAATCATAGAGGGACTGTCGTCTCCTCATAAGTCTCCTCGTAACTAACATGCTTCTTTGATGCACTCTTTAGAATTAATCTTTCTGTAAAGCATCAAAATCGTCCCTTGTTATATATTTTCCAGAATAAATCCAGCTTAGTCCTTTGACAATATTATAAGACTTTTCAAGTTTTATAAGTACCATTCAGTAAGGAACTTCTAATTCATTCTCTTCTGTACTTTCCAGCAGTCCCTTGGCTTCTTTACTTTCCTATAACCATGAAAATTTCCTGGACATCCTTATAGCTTTTTGAATTACTCAGATTATCGATGTATTCAATAACCCTATGAATCTCATTAACCCCTCAAAACTGCAACATTACAAAAAATATTTGGGAGGTATCACTCGGACTCAGATATGCCACAGAGATAACATTTAGCAAATTAAGAACAGTGCCTTCTAACTGGTAAATACCCAAAATTGGCACTTTTGCACATTAATTTAATGTTTTTAGATTGATTATGAATTGTTAATGCATGTCAATGTATGTATATGTACTTGATACATGATGGGATACCGGAAGCATTGATTTTTCATTAATTATGGCGATGGATTTTTAATTTGAGTTTGTAACACGAACCTCTTTTTCTCATTTTGCAGCTCAAAACTTGAAGGCCGGTCACTAAGCTGCAGAATTTCAGACAAAGTATGTCTGTTGAAAAGTTTGGAGAAATCACTACTAAGTCAATATCGTGTTCAAATTTTGGTTGTTCAAGTTTTACTCTTTTCTTTTTTTTTTTTTTTTTTTTTTTTTTGAGGTGCTCTCTCTTGAATACTTCTTATTGGCAATAACATGTAGGAGAAAATGTAAATATCTAAATTATACATTTGTATTTATATTTGATGTGTTTGGTGAAGGCAAGTGATGAGTTAAAAAGGTGGTTTCAAGATGATGATGCACTAGAGCGCGCACTCAGTGGAGAGTATGATGTGTTCTTGCTAAGTCTATTTCTTACTCTCTTTTTCTTTGAATTTGAAGACAACAAATCCTCCTTGTTTCTGACTTTTTTGGTTCTATCATACAGATGGTTTCTTTTGCCAGCAAACAATGAAGGAAAGGATGTAATGGAACCTATTCATCTGTCCAAAGATGAACATAAGCCCTGCATTATTGGGTATACCTCCTGACTATTTAACAAAAGTAAATTCAAATTCTTCCATAAATTATTCTTTTCTTTGCTCATGTGTCGAGTGCCTTTTTGCTTCTTCATTTGGGTGCATTGCAGGAACAATTCACATGCAAGTTCTCATAATATTTCAGTCTCTATATCTTTGCCACAGGTGAATGACTTCAAAAGCTAATATTTGCAATATGTTCTCTTCTAAATAATAAGTGGAGTTTCACCTATCAATTCATTTTTCTATATCTGAACTTGAATTAGTTTATTCCTGCAAAATTTCTTGTAGTTTGTACTTTATACTCCTTCCATGTTCTGGTAGATTTGCTGCCTTTATTGAACTGAGAAATATTTGAGCTTCTATCCATTCATTACTTCCCTACTGCAATACCTGTCTCGATTATTTCTCCTTCCGCTACTGTTTTTTTTTTCTGGCTAATATAATTACTCTACTCATTGTCATAGAACAGATTAATGAATCTCTCTAATAATTTTATCAATTGTTTTTTTTCTTTGTCCGGTGTGTTTGCTTCATTGTAGTAGAAACCGCTAGTTTCTACTACTCAATGTGTGAAGTGAATTGCAAGTATGGAGGTTAGTGATTGCCCGTGATTAATTTGCACGCATCTGGGCTTTTGGCTTCCCAAATGCTTTATCTGCACACAAGCTGTTGGTTAGTTTCCAAAAAATCAATACGTTCTAAAGATCCATTTGTTGGTTTTAGTGCGTACGGTGTTGCAATCAGTCGCATTCGGGAAGCTGGTGAGGAATCTGATTTTCATTACATTTTCTTGAAGTGGTAGCCTGTGGTTTGGACCCCAAATAAAAAAGAGTTTTGAGGTGTGTGGATACAAATCTTTGCTATGCAGCATGCAGCAGACAAGATATGTTAGGCTTTAATCAAACAGCACTTGAGTAGCATTTTACACATAATGGTCTCCCAAAAGGGAATAGGTTATATTTACTGTGCATGAGGTACACTTTTAGCTCATTGTAATTTCTTTCTTTCTCAATTCTTATTGTCCAAATAAACTTATTAGCAAGATGACTGAAGCAAATGTGTCACACGAAATTAATGAGTTCTAGGATCATCTTAATCTTACAACAGCTCTATAGGGTGCATTTGTCTGAGTTCTAAGATCATCTTAATCTTACAACAGCTCTATAGCAATCGCTGGTCTCTCTGTTTTTATGAAATTACATGAGTGTGGTTTAGTAGTCAGGCACAACTCTTATTTCCATTGGAAGAGACCATGTAACAAATACACCTATAGGGTGAGTTGACAAGAACAGTACTAACAAAAATTTCCCATGCCACTTTGTCCATATCCAAAAATGGCTGTCATGACCAATTTCTGTACTTCGACTGCAACTTGTGATATTTTTTGATTCTTGTGGTGCAATGTATTAATCAAAACTTTGGTGATGATACCAATCCACTTAATTTGAGGGGATTGAAAACATTAGATCTTAGAAATTACTATATTACAAGGCAACCAACATAGATGTTCATGTCAACACTGTTTATGTAACCGAAGATCAAGCACTTGCTAATCTTTGATTAGTTGACCCGAAAACACATTGGAGAACACTTCATATCAAACTAAGGCTAATTATATACAAATTCAGCAGGTATTCATCCATAAAATTGAGTAAACAAACTTGCAAAAGTAAAACCGCAACTTTAGTTTTAATTTTAATGTCTGGGAGATGAAATTTCCAATCCGTAATGGATTGAAATCTGTCCTTAAACAAAATCAGTAAGTTGAAGTTGATTCTGATCGAATTAAAAACTAATCCTCAGCACAGAGAGAAGCGGTGGGTGTAGAATAATTTTAAATTATTTGCAGAAGTTCTCCACAACTAAACTATTTCCAGGGTTTTGAAGTTAATGGGGTGTAAAAGAAAGGGTTTTGATTTTTGATGTAAAATTAAGCTTAAAGTTTCAATGGATCTATTTAAGGTTAATTCTAGGGAGAACCTAAAGGTTAATTTTAAGGGTGAAAGAGAAAATGAAAAAAAAGAACGAATACTTAAGGATTCAAGGAAAGAAAAGAAATAAGAAGCTAGAAGGAAAGGAAAGAAGTAAGAAGGGGAAAGGAAGGAAAGAAGTAAGAAGGGGAAGATATGAAAGAAAAGTGGGAAGGGAAAAGATTAGAAAGAAATTTAAGGGTAGGACCTTGGGACCTGCTACGATGCCTTCTTTATGACTTTCAATCAATATTTCACTTCTTTCTGGGGTTTTCTATCGTCACAAAAGTTCTCAAAATAAATATTCCATGGGGTCCCTTTCTCTCCTTTTTATACATATTTACTTAAAAATTTGATTAAAGTACCCCTAAATAAAATAAAATAATTAAAAAACCAAAGTGCCTCTCAATTCTCTACGAGACCTAAAAAGATATAAATAACCTAACATAACTAAAATAATTAGAACTCCAAATAATCCTACTTTTTCTCTCAAAAAAGGAAAAAAAAAATTAAAACCCTTGATAAAAATTATTATTAAATTGTGCCATAGAAGGCTGTCATTGTCTCATCAACTATCTTTATGTCTATAAACGGTGCCAACATTTATTTGAGATGTTATGTCCAAAAATTCCATGCTGGGTATGGGCACACTAGCATTGTGTGAATAAGGGTACTATGAACATGTCATGCCTCCTATGTATGCGATGGATACTAGTGTGTTATGCATTATTTATAATCTGAGGTATGGTGGACACATTTATAATTCATATTTGGGCTTGGCTCGTGTCGTCTTGCAAGACTACTTTATAAACTTGGTCTCATACGTCGATGCAGGAAGGAAAGGTGGGAAATTAAATCCACCTTTTTTCTGAATTTCAAACAAGTAAAAATCAGCAATTATAGAGAAAAAGCATGGCTGTAAATCAAGCTAAGAAAAGAAGAACTTTCTTCTTTCATAAAATAAAATTTATTCCATTAACATAATCATCCCAAAATTTGACATCCAACCTTTTATAAACCTATGAAACCCTAAAATTAACTTGAGAACTAAGTAAATGTTTGAGACACTAAAATAACTCTAAACAATACGAAGCTTCCAAAAATACTCCTATGAACAGTAATACATGAGCATTACTTGTGAACAGTAATGTAGACAATACCTATGAATCCTAAAATCCTTAAAAAATAATAATAAATAAAAATATAAAAACCCTAGAATCCCAAAACAATTTAAAAATGTCTGAAACTAAAATTAAAATATTTTGGATAAATTTTCCCTCCATCATTCTCCCTTGGTTGGAAAAAACTCATCCTTGAGTTTTGAAGTTTTTAAGATGAATCCAACATAAAAACCACCTTCTTCTTTGTTGGCTCAATCATTGATCGTTCTAAGAAGAAACCTTATGAAAAGGATCTTGATATGTGATGAATCAATGTAAGTTTATCAAGTACGGCTATCCTTGAACTGTCATTGAAAAGTATCTTAAGAATGGTCAAGTTCATTTTTCTGGTCTTTAGAGCCTTTCTCGACGTTTATTTTATTACTCTCCAAATCAAGGACTCCAATTTGAATATTTTGAGTCAACCATGCTTCCATTGCACTATTTTGAGTCCAATGCCCTAAATCTCCTAAAATGTTTTGGCTGTTTGATATTCCTTTAGATCTTCATATTTTTCTTCGTCAAAGATTGGTTCAACCACGAAGATGGGTTCAATGACAGATGGCATTGACGGGTACGTAATTTTGAAGATGATGTCGAGTGCCACTCTTTTCATCTCTATGCTCCTCATGAAGAGTCAAGTGAAGAGGAAAGTTCTAGAAGACATCTACATGGGGGACATCACTCTAGGGTCTTCTAATTGAAGGAGGATAAAATTGATTTTGATGCAAGTTTTATCTAAAATCAATAAGTTGTAGCCTTGGATTCACGTCCAATACTTGAGGAATGCTAAGATGAAGAACAAGATCTTGTAGGATATTCGATCTATGATAAAGAAAAAAATTTCTTTGGATCTATCCTTGTAGATTCCTCTTCGATTAGGACAAACTCTTATTTGCCTCTCTTGCGCAACAACTATTTAACCCTCTCTGTTATGTTGTTGATTTCCTCGCGGCAAACTGATCAAATAGCCATCCTTATGGTTAAGACCTCTACGACCAGCCATCGCAATCTCTAGCCGTCTTTGGGCCATGCTCTAATACCACTTGTAGGAAGGCATCCACCTTTTTCTTGAACCTCAAACAAGTAAAAATCAGCAATTATAGATATAAGGCATGACTGTAAATGAAGCTAATAATAAAAAAAAAAATTTATTTTTCATAAAATAAAATTCATTCCAATAACATAACCATTTTAAAATTTGAAATCCAACCTTTTATAAGCCTACGAAACCTTAAAATTTACGAAACCTTAAAATTAATTCAAGACTCAAGTAAACCTTTAAGACTTAAAATCGTCCTAAAAAATACTAAAATTTCAAAAATACCTTTATGAACTAACATGTGAATAGTAACCATGAACAATGATGTGAATAGTAACTATGAACAAGGATGTGAATAGTATCTATGAATAGTAACTAATAAATAATAAATAAAAATATAAAAAGCCCTAGAATTCCTAAAAAACTTAAAAACCCTAAAAATATACTCTAAAACTAAAATTAAAATATACAACTTTTGAAGTTGTACAAATATTATAAATAAGAATAATTTTCCTTCCATCACCACAACACAGTTAAAAGGGGCATGAACCTTTTCTTTAGATGGTCTTCCATATTGCCTTATTTACATTCTCTCACCCAAAACACAATAAAAAGCTTTTGGGAATGGTTAAAAGATTTGATTGCACCTAGGGCAATCAAATCCTTAATGTGCATGGTATTGCATTGCTTAACAACTGAAATCAAAACACCGTTATGTCAACGATTTGTCTCAAATAGCAAAAAAAAAAAAAAAACTTGTTAGAATCAACAGTTGTTATCTGTAGAGTGACGAAGAAAGATTTCCTTGATTTTTCATAGTTGGTGAAATCTTCTTGGTTTCACAGATGTTGGGAAAAATTTTGCAATGGGCTTAAGAGGAGCAGTAGGTTTAGGGTTTAGGCATATGGGTGTGGGGGTTGAGAGAGAGGGAGAAGAGGAGAGAAAAGGGGGATCGGGTTTGGGTGGGGGGACGATTGATTGATTACTAGG